AAAAGGAGGGGGGGTGGCCCGGTGTGAGTTAAGGACACCATGAAAACCTGTAAACGGCGGGGGGGGGGGGGCGCATGTGCACTCTGGAGGAGAGAGGTGGGCGGGTTGGAGGAGGGGGCAGGAGAGAGGTGCAGGAGAGAGGTGCTGGGGCGGGTCCGGCCCCGCCTTCGCGCCGCTGCCGATGAGGTTGGCGGAGAGGGCTGCCCGGCCCTGGAAGAGGGCGAGGTGGCAGAAGCGCTCCGTGTTTTCAACCTTGCCGAGCAGCCGGACAAGGGTGGACGACTCGAAGGCGACCACCTTGACCCCCACGACCGAGGCGTACAGGAGGAGCTGCCCGCTCGAGTCGAACACCACGTTTGCGGGCGGCGCCTGGGAGCGGGAAGCGAAGAGCCGTCGGCCGGCGACGCGCAGTGCCGTGCGGAGCGAGACCGCCGTGCAGTGAGCGGCGCGCGGCGACGGCAGCACATCTCGTGTGCGGTGCTGTCGTCCATCTGGCAGGCGGCCTCGGGAGACGCGCGGTACTCGCGCTCGACCGCCATCCGCCGCCCAAAGTCGAACGCCTCGCGCCGGTACGCGTCGTCAGTTAATAAGGATTCGTTGATTCATGATAAGTGCATTGATAATTCGTCGAACGCCTCGAGCCGGTACGCGTCGTCGCCGTCCTTCTGCAGCGCGTGCAGACTCTCGGAGGACTCGTCGTACGTGCGGCGCGTCTTGCCGGTGCGGAAGGAGAAGAGGCGCACCTTGAGGTCGCTCGCGCAGACCGCGAAGTGCTCCCCTACCGCACATGCACATGCACATGTGACATGTCCGGCGACTCGTCGCGCAGTGGCACATGAGGCTGCAGCTCGCCGGCAGCAGACAGCCGGTTGCCGTCTGGCGAGACGGCGAGCGAGAGGGAAGTGTCTAGGACGTGTCTAGGAAGTGTCTGTCTAGGAAGTGTCTAGGAAGTGTCTAGGAAGTGTCTAGCAGCCGGTTGCCGTCTGGCGAGACGGCGAGCGCGAGAGGGCGCGCGCGGGCCTTTGCGACGGCGTAGAGGTCGGTCTCGGTCTTGAACTGGAACCGCACACCGGCGGGCAGCCCGAACGGCTCCGTCGCCGACCAGTACTCGAGGACGCCGCGCGCGTCTGCCGAGACGACGGCGCCAAACGCCGGGCTGAAGCGGAGCAGCAGCACGGGGGCGGAGTGGACGCGGACGGTGTGGAGAGGCGTGCCCTCGCCCGAGGCGGCGTCGAGCAGGCGCACCTCGGGCGAGTCCGCGTCCGCCACCGCGAGCAGTGTCCGGCTGCTCGCGTTCGCGTGTGCGCCGGCTCCCGCGCCGCCGACCCACTCGCAGACACCGGGCGTGAAGTCGAGCTTGATCCAGGCGATCATGTCGAAGGCGAGCACGTCGAAGACCTTGAGCCCGCGATCGGCCGAGGTGGAGGCGAGCAGCGACCCGTCGGGCGACGCGGCCAGGCCCGCGAACGGCTTCATGTGCGCCCGAAAGTGCTTGACAAACTCGATGCCGCGCGGCATCTTTTTCCAAAACTTGAGCTGGCCGTCGCGGCTCGCGGTGGCGACGAAGTCGGTGCGCGTCACCAGCACGTGCGTCACCCAGTCGCGGTGCATGTACGAGCGCTCGTACATCTCTGCCGACGGAAGGCGTGCGAGCGCGCCGCGCACCGTCGCGCCGACGCGTGAGGCGCCCGAGCCGCCGGCAGGCGCGCCGCCCGAGTCCGAAGGCCCGGGACTGCCGTCCTCGGCGGCGGCGGGCTCGGACTCGCCGTCGCGCGTGCGCTTCATCACTTAAAGGCCCACTCCACGCCCCCTTTCGCCTTTGAGCAAGTGTCGACACTTGGCCGCCGCTGCCTCCTGAGCACCCCCACGCCGGTTGTGGCTGCTCTCCGCCCACCAGCCGGCCACAGGCCGCCACCCTCGCCGGCCGGCGTCGAGAGAACGGCCAGACTCGACCGACCGGGTGTCGCGCCGCTGCCTGCTTCTCGCGCCGCTGTAGCAGCGCCAGCGGCTCGGCCGCGCATCCTTCACACACGCTGCCACAACCAAGCTGAGCGAGCCCAGTGTCGAGGTCTGGTGCGAGCTGCATGCGAGGGGCGGCTTTGGCCACAGCAGGTCCACCAGACGGACCTCAAAGCTTGCCGTCGGCGTGCTGTCGTGGCGAGAGCGCGAGACCGCTGCAGAGGAGCCGAGTGCAGTGGCGAGCCAGAGGCTACCAGGGTCACCAAGTGGTAGCCCTTGCCCATTCTGATCAGGGCTGTGCTTTGGTGGGGTTGTGTTTGAGCATGTGTGAAGTGGGAGTGCGTGCCGGCGGCGTGTCTGTGGGTGAAACGGGCGTGAGTGAGGCCGTAAGAGCCGTGGTATGAGCCAGAGTGGGCTTCATCACCCAAAATAAGGACGGTTTGGGACAGCTCAGACTTGGTACTGATGAGCCTGGGCCAGGAGGGCGACAGAGAAGGCGAGGTGGTGAGCTGGGAAGCCGCTTCATCGGCACCTGGACGTGTCGCGATGAACTGCCGAAAAGTACTATTTGCGGCTATTGCTCAAAACTTCGGGAGACAAGGCCTACATATTATGACT